CACTGGGGACACTGGGGACATTGGGGACACTGGGGACACGGAGCCGCGTGCGGAGCTTCCTGCTCCGGAGCCTGCAGCGATTGAAGGGATCCGACCGGAACCTGCCCCAGGTGGGATACTGGGGATACTGGGGACACTGGGTACACTGGGGACACTGGGGATACTGGGGACACTGGGGACACTGGGAGACACTGGGGGGACTGGGGACACTGGGGACATGGGGGTCACGGCCATAGAGGACATCAGGGGCCCCCCTGTCTCTCTCCATGGGTCTCTAAGGGCCATGAGGGACATGGGGGTCTCCGTGGGTCCCCATGGGGCTCTGTGGGGCTCTATAGGTCCCCATGGGGCTCTATGGGTGCCTATGGGGCTCTATGGGGCTCTATGAGGCTCCAATGGGCTCTATGGATCTATGGGGCTCTACAGGTCCCCATGGGGCTCTATGGGTCTCCATGGGACTCAGTGGGTCTCTATGGGTTTCTAGGGGTCTCTATAGGTCTCTATAGATTCCTACGTATCCCCATGGGTCCCCATGGGTCGCCATGGGGCTCTATGGGGCTCTATGAGGCTCCATGGGTCCCCATGGGTCTCTATGGGTGCCTATGGGGCTCTATGGGGCTCTATGAGGCTCCAATGGGCTCTATGGATCTATGGGGCTCTACAGGTCCCCATGGGACTCTATGGATCTCTCTGAGTCTCCATGGGGCTCCGTGGGTCTCTATGGGGCTCTATGGGGCTCTATGGGTCCCCGTGGGTCCGGCGCCCCCCGCGCTGACCCCCGTTGCCCCCCAGGTGCTGCAGGTGTCGGAGCTGCTGCAAAGGGGCATCGGGGTCCATCACAGCGGGGTGCTGCCCATCCTCAAGGAGGTCGTGGAGATGCTCTTCAGCCAGGGCCTCGTCAAGGTAGCGCCGCCCCACGGCCGCCCCACGGCCGCCCCACGGCTGCCCCATGGCTGCCCCATGGCTGCCCCATGGCTGCCCTATGGCTGCCCTATGGCTGCCCCATAGCTGCCCCATAGCTGCCCCACGGCCGCCCCACGGCCGCCCCATGGCTGCCCTATGGCTGCCCTATAGCCGCCCCACGGCCGCCCCACGGCCGCCCCACGCCTGCCCCACGCCTGCCCCATGGCCACCCCATGGCTGCCCTATGGCTGCCCCATGGCTGCCCCATGGCCGCCCCATGGCTGCCCTATGGCTGCCCCATAGCTGCCCCACGGCCGCCCCACAGCCGCCCCACGGCTGCCCCACGCCTGCCCCATGGCCGCCCCATGGCTGCCCTATGGCTGCCCCATGGCTGCCCTATGGCTGCCCTATGGCCGCCCCACGGCCGCCCCACAGCCGCCCCATGGCCGCCCCATGGCTGCCCCATAGCTGCCCCATAGCTGCCCCATGGCCGCCCCACGGCCGCCCCATGGCTGCCCCATGGCTGCCCTATGGCTGCCCCATAGCTGCCCCATAGCTGCCCCACGGCCGCCCCACGCCTGCCCCACGCCTGCCCCACGCCTGCCCCATGGCTGCCCTATGGCTGCCCTATGGCTGCCCCATAGCTGCCCCATAGCTGCCCCACGGCCGCCCTATGGCTGCCCCATAGCTGCCCCATAGCTGCCCCACGGCCGCCCCACGGCTGCCCCACGGCTGCCCCACGGCCGCCCCATGGCTGCCCTATGGCTGCCCCATGGCTGCCCTATGGCCGCCCCACGGCCGCCCCACAGCCGCCCCACGGCCGCCCCATGGCTACCCTATGGCTGCCCTATGGCCGCCCCACGGCCGCCCCACGGCCGCCCCACGCCTGCCCCATGGCCGCCCCATGGCTGCCCCATAGCTGCCCCATAGCTGCCCCATGGCCACCCCATGGCCGCCCCATGGCTGCCCCATAGCTGCCCCATAGCTGCCCCATGGCCACCCCACGGCCGCCCCATGGCTGCCCCATGGCTGCCCTATGGCTGCCCCATAGCTGCCCCACGGCCACCCCATGGCTGCCCTATGGCTGCCCCACAGCTGCCCCATGGCTGCCCTATGAGTCCCCTATAGGTGCCGTATAGCTGCCCCATAGCTACCCCATGGCCGCCCCATGGATGCCCTATGGCTGCCCAATAGGTGCCCCATAGTTGCCCCACGGCTGCCCTATGACTGCCCCATACCTGCCCCATGGCTGCCCCATAGCAACCCTATAGGTGCCCCATGGCTGCCCCATAGCTGCCCTACGACTGCTCCATAGCAGCCCTGTAGGTGCCCCATAGCTACCCTATAGTTGCCCTATAGCTGCCCCATACCTGCCCCATACCTGCCCCATGGCTACCCAATACCTGCCCCATAGCCACGCCACAGCTGCCCCATAGCCGCCCCATGGCTGCCCCCCGGCTGCCCCCCAGGTGCTCTTCGCCACCGAGACCTTCGCCATGGGGGTGAACATGCCGGCGCGCACCGTCGCCTTCGACTCCATCCGCAAGCACGACGGCAGCGGCTGGCGCGACCTGCTGCCCGGTGAGCGCCGGGGGCGGCTATGGGGCGGCTATGGGGCGGCTATGGGGCACTGTGGGGCGGCTATGGGGCGGCTATGGGGCACTGTGGGGCAGCTGTGGGGCAATGTGAGGTGGCTATGGGGCAGTGTGGGGTGGCTATAGAGTGGTGGGCGGCGGCTATGGGGTGTCTCTATGGGGCGCTGTGGGGCGCTATGGGTCTCTATGGGGCACTGTGGGGTGCTGTGGGGCGCTATGGGGCGCTGTGGGTCGCAGGCGAGTACGTGCAGATGAGCGGCCGCGCCGGGCTGGCTATGAGGTCACTATGGGGCGCTATGGGGTGTCTCTAGGGGTCTCTATGGGGCACTGTGGGGTGCTGTGGGGCGCTATGGGGCGCTGTGGGTCGCAGGCGAGTACGTGCAGATGAGCGGCCGCGCTGGGCTGGCTATGGGGTCACTATGGGGCGCTATGGGGTGTCTCTAGGGGTCTCTGTGGGGTGTCTGTGGGGCGCTATGGGGTGCTATGGGGCGCTATGGGGTGTCTCTATGGGTCTCTATGGGTCTCTATGGGGCGCTATGGGGCGCTGTGGGGCGCTGTGGGTCGCAGGCGAGTATGTGCAGATGAGCGGCCGCGCCGGGCTGGCTATGGGGTCAGTATGGGGTGCTATGGGGTGTCTCTATGGGTCTCTATGGGGCGCTATGGGGTGTCTCTATGGGTCTCTATGGGGCGCTATGGGGCGCTGTGGGGCGCTGTGGGGCGCTATGGGGCGCTGTGGGTCGCAGGCGAGTACGTGCAGATGAGCGGCCGCGCCGGGCGCCGCGGTCTCGACGCCACCGGCACCGTCATCATCCTCTGCAAGGGGCCGGTGCCCGACATGGCCGACCTGCACCGCATGCTCATGGTGGGTGTCACCCGGCACCGCTGTCACCCTGTCACCCGTGTCACCCGGTGTCACCCTGTGTCACTCGCTGTCACCCGGTGTCACCCGTGTCACCCGTCACCCGGCACCGCTGTCGCCCTGTCACCCGTGTCACCGGTGTCACCCATGTCATCCATGTCACCCGCTGTCACCCGTGTCACCCGTGTCACCTGTTGTCACCCGGTGTCACCTGTCACCTGTCACCCAGCACCCAGTGTCACCCGCGGTGTCACCCATTGTCCCCATTGTCCCCATTGTCCCCATTGTCCCCATGTCCCCACTGTCCCCAATGTCCCCCATTGTCCCCATTGTCCCCACATTGTCCCCGTGTCCCCATTGTCTCCGTGTCCCCCCATTGTCCCCATTGTCCCCATTGCTCCCCATTGTCCCCATGTCCCCCCATTGTCCCCATGTCCCCACTGTCCCGGTGCCGCAGGGCCGCCCGGCCCCGCTCTGCTCCCAGTTCCGTCTCTCCCATTGTCCCCATTGTCCC